CAAAGATTTTCCTGGATTTTATCTTCATCGGCAGCACACTTGATGACCTTCCGTATTTTTGCGTCATCTGCAAACGTGGCATGCTCACAGTCTAATTCCTGTACACAATCATTAACGAACAAGAGAAAGAGGGTTGGTCCGAGTATTGAACCTTGAGGGACTCCGCTCTCGATGAATGTTGGCCTTGATCGTTGTCGTCCTATACACACCGTTTGGGAACAACCAGCCAGGAAATTTGCAATCCACTTAAGAAGTGTGCCTCCGATGCCCATCAGTGTCAAACTGTGTAAGAGACGGTGTGGAACACTGTCAAAGGTCTTCCATTTTCATTAATTGCCCTTGTGCAGCTTTGCATAGTGTAAAGCAAGATTGTAACAAATGGCCTACGCCCACGAAACCTGTATAACGCAATGGACAAAATATTGTGGGTTTAACAGTATGTCATCAATTCCTTTTTGATGATCGTTACCATTACCTTGCAGGTTATGGAGGTCACACTAACGCGACTCTTGTTTTTCGCAAGTGCACGACTACAGTTTTAGTAAGACGGTGTAATGTGCTCTGTTTTCCAGTCTGGGGGAAGAATTCCACTATCGAACAATTGCTGGCAATAGTTCACTGAACAATTTCGCAAGAATCTCATCTGGACCGGGAGATTAAAATTCCTTCAAGCTTTGTAGTTCTTGAAAAATGTTTATTTTCCAAACAAAACGTCCTCAATATTTGGCATACCGGCTACTTCGTCACTAGTTGTTATGAAGGCAGATTCTGTGGTGAAAACCGACCAGTCGGAGATCTTGATACGTTCACTATATTTATAACAGGAATAAGGTTTTTGTTGCGTGTGCTTCTCCTTAAGTAGCTGTATAGTAACTTTTGACTTTTCACTGCTCTATGAAGCAGATCACCCTCAAAGTCGCTTTGTCTTTTGAAAACAAACGATGTACCTCGCTTCGCTGCATTTTGCATTCTTCCAAAGCTTCGCTATAATGCGTTCTGCAAAGCTTCTTTCAACTTTTTCCTTTCTTATTGATTTCCTTTTTTTAGATCTCTTGTCAGCCACTGAGGTCGATTGGATATCTTAGGCACTGGCAGTATAGCATGATCTTGCATTAGGTGCAGCAACCGCTCCTTAAATTTATTCCACTCACCAGTGCCATCCCTGTAGAAAAGAAGAATCCAGTTTATTTGCCACGCCTCTGCAATCATTTGAGAAAAGCCTCTTTGCCATTTAATCGGACTTGATTCGTTTATTATAGGAGGTAAAGAATATGGACCATAAACCACGAGAAAATGTCATGTTTTAATTTGGTAAGGAGGGCGTCACGAAGTGTTATTTCGTCAATGTCGGAGTAATCCACAAGCTGTTGAAAGACCAAGATGCCCGTTGGCAGAGTCGAGGTCTGATTCCCGAAGGTACAATTCGGCCATTTAAACCATCATTTACCGTCCTGTACTTAGACACATGCCTAGAGCGTGAACGATATTTGCGAGCAGGCACCAGGGCGGTTCATATTCTCGCACAGCTGCAGCATGTGCATGTTTATCTTACCTTGTTTTTGCTTATATTTCGGATTCCAGACGTACTTGCGCTTCTCGTCCATAAGATTAGAAAAGAATAAAGCCCAAATCCAATCATTTATTTTGCCCACATGTATCCTAATAAGCCATCACCAGCATAAGTATTAACTCAGACCGAATTCATGAGAAAGTATATAGAGTAGGTGGCACAGATAATAATCAAAAGTAGCACTTCGACGAATCACGCTGTAAATAGGCCGCATCTGCAAGTATTTGGGCCTTTTGAATGGCTTTCTGCTTCCACGGGGACGTTTGCTCTCCTTCGGCTCTCCTCAAAAGCTTATCGCGAAGGTTAAGGAAGTTAAGCTTTGTAATGTGCATGGCCAAAGGCTGCAGTGCCCCGGTTGTAATTTTTACTTCTGCCTTCGCGTTGACGTTGGTTAATACGAGAGTCATTTCCTCAGATGTTCTATATGTTTCCACAGTGGTGGTCTAGGGAAGAAAACACGACAACATCAACTAGGAGATTAGTACTGGAATTCGCAAATTCAAAGAAAGCAGCATGGCGTCAACGTACCAGCGTTTGAAACCTCACCGTAACTGCGGGAAAATTAATTTGGCAAGACAATTCTACTGTGTCCCCCTGGGGGCGTTTCCGCAGGAAAGAACAATCCTCGCGGATTCCTGGGCTGTCAAATGTCATCAAAAAGGACGTAATGGTGCGCGCATCATAGGACACATAAATATAAATTTTAGAGAGCCGTTGCAGGTGCTGTTGCAAAAAATCTGCCACATCAGTTGCCTGATTGTACCGCGGGCACTTTTGCCTGATGTTTTCCCGTGACCAGCAACCCTCACAGCGCATCACAAATGCAACCGTCAGCAGGATGAAAACGTGGG